TTATACCCGAGTGTCTTAACTTCTTAATGTAAAATGTCAGGCGGAATATTTTACTGGAGATTGCTAAGACATGGGAAGACCAGGAGAGATCAGAAGAGAGAACAAGTCCAAGATACTTAATTTCTGATTTGATTCCTATATCATTGTCGTCAATTTTACAAGTGTCATGAGAATCGATGACTTCTTTTAACTGTCGTTTACATCTTAAGCTGAAATCAACAGTTTGACACTTAGAAGGATTCAGTTTAAGACCGTTCGACTCAGACCATTTGCTGACTTCCGATAGAAAGCTATTTATTTTAGTACAATCTAGCTGGGAGTTAACAGCCATTAAAACCGTTAAATCATCAGCGTACTTCACAAAGTTTATTTCATCAGAGTGAGGCAAGTCATGCAAGAAGAAAGAAAAAAGAAGAGGAGAAAGAACAGCACCTTGAGGGACACCAGCTTCAGTAGGCAATGAAGTGGAAGACTTCCCTTTATATACGGTGTACTGCTTTCTATCTGAGAAATAGGAATGTAACCAATTAACAGTCCAACATTCTGCTTGACTAGCAGCAAGTTTATTTAATAAGATGTCCCTAGGGACCGAGTCGAAAGCAGATGTATGGTCTAGGAAGGCGCAACGAACAAATTTAGCCCCCTTGTCTAGACTGGAAGCAATGTTATGATATAAGACGGCAGCTGCATCTAAAGTGCTTCTACTGTGCTTATAGGCAAATTGTTTAGGGTCATTAAAGGATTTAAGCGAAGGTTCAAGACTAAGTAAAAGTAATTTCTCCATAGTTTTCAAAAAAGGAGACGTAATAGCAATGGGTCTAAATTTGACACATGCTCCAGTAGATGATTTAGGTATGGGTTCCACTTTAATGTCCTTCCAAACGGCAGGCACAATATTATCGGAAAAAGATTTGTTAGATAGATCAGTAAGAGGGTGACACAGAATATCAGAACATTTTTAAAAATAATACTAGTTACATAATCGGAACCTAAGCTCTGGGAAGGTTTTAGAGACTTGAGGCACTTTTGAACATCATTTGTGTTAAAACCTGGAAAGGGGCTATTAATAACACAAGTGATGCTGGGAAGCATGGCATTTGAGGGAGAGTAAATAAAAGATTTGTTAAGAGTACATACATCAAAAGAATATACAGTTTACAGTTTACAATTTATTTAGGATAGTAGGCTATATGCCTGTGTTAATCCTTTCGATTTATTGCATACAGGAGGTCCAATCTCGCCTTGAATGAATCAACGGATGGCGCTGATACGACGTGTTCCGGTAGGGAGTTCCAATGGTTCACAATTCGATGCGAAAAACGGATCTCCAGACGCCGACGATTCGACCGTGGCTTTTGAACCTTGAGGTGATGTCCTCGCAATTGGTTGGTGCTGGAAGGAAGAAATAATTTAGATAAATTAGCTCCAAAATCATTTCTTAGGATACGGTATGCTAGTATTAGGTCACCCCTAAGTCGTCTGTATGACAGTGGAAATAAACCCAGTCGACTTAACCTCTCCTCATATGACAGGGTTGAGAAACCCTTTATTAGCTTAGTTCCTACTCTTTGCACCCTTTCTAATAAGTCTATTTCGTATTTGAAACACGGGCTCGCTGCCTGGATCCCATATTCCAAATGAGGTCTGATATAAGTCGGATATAATATACGAAATATATCAGCGTCAAAGTTCGCAAAAGCCTTGCGTATGGCCCATAACATTCTAAAACCCTTAGTGGCTGCAGTTCTACAGTTTGTTGCTGTTTTCAAGTCATGCTGCACAACCACTCCCAAGTCCTTGTACTCAGTGACCACTGGGAGAGTAATGCCATTCATTGAGTAATTGTGCACATGACTATGGGATACATGCATAACTACACTCTTGCTTAAGTTAATCTCCAAGGCCCGGTGCTTACACCAATCACTTAACAAGTTTAAATCTTCCTGCAAAGCAAGTTGATCACTGTCATCGTGCAAAGCCCTCCATATCTTGATGTCACCAGCAAACAGTAAGCAGGATGACTTAACTACTGGGATGGTAACCGCCGGTGTGATAACATTCATGATGGCACTTACTGCTTCATCTTCAGACGGGCAGTCCGTGTCACTCTTACTAGCCACGCTATCATCAGGAAGTTCCATGGCTTTAGACAGCAGTTCGTGAGCCTCCCTTATTAAGGTCATCTTTGGGGAGCAACACATTCTGCACATCCAGTGGGATGTTGGAGCAGTACAACGTTTGCATGCAGCTGGACGTAATCCAGTACACATCTTATGATACCACTTTTCACAGTTATTACACTGTATTCCACCATCTACCAAAAAGTAACACTCCGCCCTACTACATTTATGTGGTACTTTTGACATAATGAACTTCTACTGGAAACAGCCAAGACAATTTACGCAATATAGACTATATAAGTGGTTAAAATCAAAACTTAACAGACAAAAGTCAAGTTAAAGTTTTTTTTAAATGTTCTTGAAGTGAATAACACAACAAAACAGCGATTTGTCAAAAACGTGAAATACGTGAAAAAAGCACTCCCTTTCAAACAGCGCCCGCAGTAATATGAAATATTTTTTATCTGCTTACCACCAGTGATTTCCTTAAATAGTTTCCACATATTAGAAGAATTTTTGCAGGATATGAATTCCTGGTTATATATTACATTCAACCTCTGCATTTCAGACTTAATTAAGAAGTTAGTTCTTTTTACACCACTTTTATTTTTCATCTTATACAGTTTTTCCTTCTCTCTACGAAGCGTTTTAAGTTGAGGCGAGGAGAAACCGTCAAATTTGACGAATAGTGTTTCTTTTGGACAACAGATTTCAAAGCAGAATTTCAGATAGGATGTAATATTAGAGATATTGTCATCAAGTGAATCATCATTAAACAAATCCCATCTTGTGTCACTGAGCATGTTTCTAAGATGATGTACGTTCTCATTTGAGTAGCATCTGTGAACAACTTTCTTAGACAAGTTTGAGAAGGCTTTACTGTGTAATTTTCCGTAAATTTTGGGTAAGACTCGTACAATACAATGATCAGAATTGAAGAGCGGGGCTCTTTTACGAGCTTCGTATATTCCAGAATCATTTATAAATACTAAATCAAGTGAATTATTTTGTCGAGTTGGGAAATTAACAACATTTGCATGGCCCAGCAATGTAATAAAACTGCAGTCGCTGGAGTTGAAGTCGCCGGTCACTATAGATAAGTAGTTACCAAACGAAGCAGCAGCAAAAATAGTGAATTCATCAGCGAAGATAGATGGTTCTGAGGGACTGCAACAAGGTGTGATATAGATATTTGTGACAAAAATGAAGCTATACTTAGGTAATTGTTTAGGTCGACATTTTACAGTTATACAGTCAATATTGTCATTTAAGAATTTGAAGCAGACGTTGTTGGCAGTAGACCACTAAGAATTAATAAAAGTGGCAACACCGCCACCTCTCTTCTTCTTCGAGCTGCATTGGTCTTGTCTGTAGATTGTGAACCCACTTAAGGAGACTAAATTATCGTCATATGAATCATGGAGCCAAGTCTCTTGAAGAGTGATTACACCAGTATTACAATATACATTTGAGTATAATAGAGAATGCAAGTAGTTAATCTTGTTCGATAATGACCTGCAATTTGTGCTCATAATCACAGGAACAGTCATCTGATGCATTTGAGTACACTTTAATGATCTCTGCCAACCTCCATGATGCTTTTTCTTAACGTTATTATATACTCGTAAATCAACGGGTTGAAGACATTTTAAATAATCGCGAGAGTAAGTAATGCGACTTGGATACATAATTGAATAATTAAAACAAAATAAATCCGAGGAAATAGATGCAATATGTAGGATGGAAATTTTGGTAGCCCAAGATCTAAGCAGGCCGCCAAGTTTTTTTATGCCTGGTACATCCACTTGGAGAAGGTTAACTTCATTTGGAGTTGTAGTAGTGTCACTGATCATCTTAATTTAGTGCGAACATTTCCTAGTGAAATTGATACACCAGACTGCTATCGGTTGCGTCCCAGTTTGAGTATCTACTGCTACTAATATTTCTACTAAAAAGACATTCATCCAAAGACGGTCAGCAGGGCTTCCTCTATCCTGGCTTATTATCGCCTTCCAGAAAAACTCTGAGATTCTCTTGTATGTATATGCTTTAGGGTTTAGCCAGAATTCAGTTCATATCTGGACAAACAGTATGGGTGATTAATTCGGCAATGATTATATCTAGCCACAGGTACTTTACACCAAAAGTGTCTTGATGTTATGACGGTGTTCTGCTTCATTGACCTTTCTTTCACTATGGTGGCATCATGGTAATGTTTATCACTGTAGGTTGACTACTTGATATATTCCGTTGAACTGTCTGTGGGCTCCATCTGCCATTATGGCTGATGTACTCACGCTAGGTTAGAAGTTTATGTAACCAATCTGAGACGAGGGTTGAGTGGGGACACAAAGCGAAACTTGGTCGTGGTGAGAAAGAATCTACTTCAGGAACTGCTGAAAGTGGGCTACACAATGCCACTTCAGTGAGATTGGATTTTACCTGGCTCTGGCCGGGTAACAGGTGTCTACTCGTCTGCCTCGGTGGACCCTGGCAGCACAAGAGCGGAAGATGCTGGTAAAAAAGAAACGATTTCACCATACCATGAAGAGTGCTCCACTGCCCACACGAAAAATGAAGATATTGGCACTGTTAACGTAATGATAAAATGTCAAGGGATGCCCGCAGGCAATCTTCTCACAAATTCGGACTCATGAAATTGACACCAAGTGGTATCTAAATAGGCCACTTGAAGGAAGGGTTAGAAAAGCATAGGTGCTCGTTAGAAAAGGACTGCCAAGGGCTTGAAGCCTTATGCTGTCAACCAAATAACTAAAATTTGAATCTATATTTTGCACAGTATCTAAGGAATCTTTTAATGGTTTAAAAATAAGACATATTTTCGCTGTATCACCAGCTGTAGAAACATGCACTGGTGACTGGATAGTTTCAGTGAGTTGATTAGTAAACAAGAGATTTTAGTTAGCTGAAAACGCGCGGATTCCGAGTTTGGCGCTGAGCATGTCAGGGGATTATCATAATGTTGACCTTCGTATCTTCGATGAGGCACAATTCACCTGCCGAACTCTTGGAAGCGGGCTGACGGTTGAACTGAGGAATGCCAGAACTATTACCATGCAGTAAGTGTCTTTGAGCACTAACATTGTTGTAAAAGAAAGAATAATGAAGTTGTAAAGGAAATCCGTCTTACCCCGTCGGTTGACGTTCACCGTTTCTCTCAGAAAACACTGGCAATATGCACGAGGAAAAACGGTGCAGAGGGGCCATCTGTGACGTACATGCTGGCTTTTGATTCTCTCGGAGACATTCGCAGATTTCTAGTAAGCGTATAACTTGTAAATTCATTTCCAGGATTCGATCGATGTTGCCAAGTCTAAAGGGGAGAAAAACAAGGGAGTTTGCTCCTCTATTTTCGACAAACGAACAGACTCGTGGTCTGCAGTTCAGTACTTTCAATTCTACAGTTACATTAGTCAACAGCAAAATATGATGCAAGTAAGATATACACCTTAGTGCTATGCATTGTTCATTTGTGAATAACTAAGTTTATTATCATGAAAGTCACCGTGTGTGATAAAGTCATTTTACTACATAATATTTCCTGTTTAGAGTCTTTCAAACTTCAGATAAGGCTGCTTATTAGATTTTTCTTTTTGCCTCATATCAATCTGTTTTGAATGTCTAAATTTTTTTTGCTTTGTGTGCTAAGTGAAGCGTTGCTAATAAAACTGCTGCACATCTCGGAAAGTCCCAAGTTGAAATCGGTTATTAGCTCTGTTTAAATCTTCAGCAGTTTTTAGTCCACGTATCCTAGTGGATAATATTTGACGTCGCGTACTTGGGCTTTCAAACCGTACTGTCATCCTTATAATAAGACGTGAACTGTGGCTGTACAAGCTCTTCTGGTCGAAGCGAAATCCAAATAAGTGACTAAATAGTTTTTTCATAAAGAACTTCGCAAAACTGCGGCAGGTCAAGTCGCCATATGCCATCTAGCGTAAAAGAGTAAAGAAGTTGACGGAGACTATAAAGGACGAAAGAATAGAATAGAAATTTACGTAGAATTACTGCATATGGGTGATTAATTCCTGTATCTATTAAGAATAGTAAAGTTTTCACTGGGTCACAAGACATGAAGATGTTGTTGGCGTTATTATCTGTATAGTGTATACATGTATGGAAAGAGGGATTGGGGAATTGAATGTATTCAAATGCATATGGATTAAAATAACGATGTGATTGGTACGATTGTTTTTGTGGGGAACTACACATTAGTGTTGGGCCGATGATGAACTAATTGAAAAGGAATGTATTTCTCTCAGTTTGTTGTTTTTTCTAAATGTGTTAATCGCAATTTTCAAATCTCCACACTTGTTGAAGAATAGCTTCTTGGCTGATTCTTTTTCGGAGCTCCTTGTTGCTTATCCTTTCTGACCATTACGGGGAGAGGCGAGCTGTTGATTAAAGTCTGAATCCTGCTCGAAAAGCTTTTGTGGCACGTTAATTCTTTGAACCACATACAAGAACGTAATAAACACGTTCAAAATCCTAATCTCCTTGCTTATGCTGAGTGTAAAAGATTTCCCCACTGATTTCAGAGTAACGAAGTTCGGTCTTTCCACTCCAATCCAGATTTTAAAATCCCGACCCGTTCCACCTATAGTTGAAACGATGCTATTTGGATAAGTGAAGGTGACTTCCTTCAAATTTCTGCTGTTGACAGTAATTGGTGCCCGTTGATGGTGATCAGGTATCTTCATCACTTCCATCTTCTCTATGTTCACCAGGAATCATGTCTTCTCTGCTTCTTCAGTTAGTTTGTTGATTTTGCCCATCGGTCATCAAGTTTGTGTGACAGTAGATATAAATCAGCAAAGTTTAGGCCTTCTAGATCCTCTTTGTCGGCCCACCATATTCCTACCTCACTACCCATGGTTTGCTGTATGATCAGTCCTATACAATCAAGAATATCATCGGTGATAGTAGTTAGCCTTGTCTTGCTCTTGTCTTCACTTAAGTAGCTTTCCCTTTGTGAATCACTTGACATGTGACATCATCATAAAGCTGTTGAATGAAGTTGATAACGATTTGGAGCACTCTGTAGTGTTGAATCGGTTTCGAATTACTTCACAGCCAACACTGTCGAAGTTGTTTTCAAACTCGACGAAATTGATTTAGTGATTCGACTGCCATTCTGTGCTTTGATGATGACGCTTGGCGTTGCAATTTAATTTGCACATGATTTGCCTATCTTGAACCCAGCTTGTCCCGGTCGGAATTTCGCAACCTGTGCACGTTTTAGTCTCTCCAGGATAGTGCGACTTCTTGGTGTGGACAAAAGTTTGATTCCGTGCCATTTCTTAAAAGGTTTTAGTTGCGATTCCACATAAGTGTGACAAAGTAGCTTTTGTTCCTTCCCCACTTTTTGCAAGTGGCGTCAGTGAACATGTTGCACTTTGTGGATTCGTTTTCAATGCTCCAAGGGGGCGTTCCTCTGATCCTGCTGCCTTCCTGACTTGCAGTAGCTTGATTGCATTCAGAAGTGTATTGCACTCTATGTACTATTAAGTGGGAAAATCAACCGACGAGGCTATAAAGTTAAATAGGTTGAGGTGGCTAGTTCATGTGCTGCGCATGCCTAACCATCGCCTTCCCCGATGGGCATTACTAGCTGATATAGGTGCTTGCTGGAAATGAGTAAGTGGTGGCCAAGCAAAAACATGGAATCAATCCATGAAATCCTTGACAGTTAAACTGAGTCAGGTAGGGAGATGCAGACTTCCGGGTTGGGGCCCTCAGGACTCTAAGAATCAATGGTTGGAGACAATAGGTGACATGGCTCAAAATCGTTGTCAAAGGCGCAGATATATTCAGTCTCTGTAATCTTTCGTATTCCTTTCTACCATTACCCATTCTGTTTCACTCTTATACTTGTCAAACTCTATTGATTCTCTTCACTCATCTTCTTGTCTACCTCTGTGTGCTATTTGGAACGTGGCAACTGGAACTGCTGCACTTCGGTGCCAATTTCTATACTGCATCCAGACAGACTATTAAGTGGTGTGGTTGCTTTAGTTATTTTCCTGGAAATTTTTTAGGAACTGAACTCACTTTTTGAGTAGTATAAAGGAAGGAAACTTGGTAAATTGGAGAAAGATTTGTTGTTTAAGTGATCGTATTTTATTTTTTCCATACTTGACTCTTATTATCAAACAGATTTGCTGTCCCAATTTAATGAATGGTTTCTGCAGCTAGTTAATACTAAGGAATTTTTACTGGCTGGTTATGCATAGTTAAGAAGGCTTGACTGTTCGTATATTGGTTTAGTTTCGTCGTTTATGAGAATGTTTGTCTCATAATCTAGTCTTATTCTTTCTATTTTTTCCTTTTTTGGTGTATGTTGATTATTTTCAAGCCATGCTGTGATCTACATTTTCTAGGACTATATCCGTACATCAACATATCAAAGAGCAATTCTTGCAAATGCATCAGCTGATTTCCGTGGAAAAGTGGTATTGGATGTTGGTGCAGGTTCAGGGATTTTAAGCTTCTTTGCAATACAGGCGGGTGCAACAAGAGTTTATGCAGTTGAAGCGTCAAATATGGCTTCTCATTGTAATAGCTTAGTTCAGGCAAATAAATTGGCGGGACGAATCGTTGTTATCAGGTTAGTCTTCATCATAATCAATTCATTGTGTATATATTTTCTCAAATACAACCAACCCAAAGGCAGAAATTTGTGTCCCATGTCATTTTTATGAGCTGGCAATAGTTTTTTTTGTTAATTTAGTCATTCATTTCATTTATTTGTGACTAAGTAGCATTAATCAGGCTGTCTTTTAGAGGACGAAAAATAATGCTAACTTACATTGTGATAGTCATCATAGATACTACAAGCCCGACCGATAGCTGCTACCTTGACGTTGTAGTTGGGCGTACAAAACAAAATGACCAAACAAGCTATACTAACTGGAACTATTATTCCTACAGGTCCTATCATGCCAGAAAAGTTGTTAGGATGGGGATTTGATTAAAAGCAGTTACCGGCATAGTGTAAGAATTTTTTTCTTACCCTTACTGCTGGGTTACAGGAATTTAACAGCAGTAAGGTATTTCCCTGTGATAACCAGCATGCCAGCTATGCTGTCTTTCCACTCAGGAGGAAGGCAGTTAGAAAACGTCGACCCCAACAATTGTACGTCCCAGCTTACCTTATGGTGGTTCGTAATCGGCGATAATTTACTAATACGGGACCAAACCAAGAAAGCAGTTCATACAGGCTGTGCGTAACTGGCCTCAAGCAGTTGTCCCTTGGGCTCTGCGGTCACGCAAAGAAATCAATCAACTTCCACGGTGTGAGCAGCTGAGAAGTAACAACCGGCCATACATTTCCAAAAGCACACGAGGCTTTCCTGAGCATCATTCTCCTTTACCCACATCACCATCATTTTACTTTCCTACTACAGCCGGTACTATCCTTCAGGCTAGTGAGTCCTTTTCACTTCACCCTGTGTACACAAACAAGGATGATAGCTAAAGAAACACCCCCGATAGTCTCTTAAAGCCACGTCACCAACTTCAACGCCAGGACCCACTGACAAATCGGACAACAGGCATTACTATCAAGAACTCTGGCATCTCGAGCCATGGATGTATGTTGTTTTTAGGAGACACGCATACAAGACCCGAGTGTGGCCATTCACTTAGCCCCACCCGGCCAACAATGTGAATCTGCAGAATTCACTTTAGGGGTGTCAGGAGACCCCTTTTCTAGTTCGCGAGGACTGGCAGGTGTAGGGATAGCTTTGAGTGTTAAGGCGAAAAAATGGCTTCTTGACTGGATCCCAGTAGATAGTCATATGTGTGCGGTCCGTCTGAATGGGTCCGTTAGAAGAACGAAGGACGGTGTTACCCGTCGTTGTTTCTTCGTAGTCTCCGCTTACGCCCCAACAGACTGAAGATCTGATGAACTAAAGGATGACTTATACCTGAAACTGTTTAATTTGCTGCAAAAGGCAAAACGTTCAGACATAGTTGTTGTATCAGGGTCAGTAGAAGAATGACTCTCCTTTTGGAAAATCTGTGTAGACTCTGATCACAGCCTCGTTCGTAGACGTTTATGCTTACGATTGAGTAGTCATAAGAAGCTGTTGGCAGCGAAGCAATTACGTCTCGAACTACACCAAGACACTAATTCCCTATTCAGGGAAGATATAGCGAAACGAGTATCTGAGATCAATAGCGAGAGCCCCCTGAAGAGACCTGGCACGATATACAGTTAGCTGTAAACTGTCTGTCTGTTTTCGACATAGAACTTTGCACTGATGTACGGCAGTTCCAGTCGCCACACTCCGTGCAGCACACAGAGCAAGAGAAGAAAGTAGAAGAAAAGCATAATAGAGACAGTAAGCAGAGGTGTGAGGCAAAGGAAGAGTAATAACGAAGAACAAAACAGTTTCATTGGAAATCATAAATCACAAGGAGTGGATGCATCTGCGCCACTAAGAACGATTTTGAGCCATGTCACCAATTGTTTCCAACCATAGATTTTTACCGTCCTGAAGCCCCGAACCAGGAAGTCTACACCTTCCTACGTGGCTTAGACTAACTGTTGTAGATTTCATTGACTGGTGCCAAGTTTTTGTTTGACCGCCGCTAGCTTTTTTCCAGCCTGACCATATATCCGCTAACATTGCTCGTCGAGGAAGGCGATGACTAGGCATACGCAACACATGTCCTAGCCATCTCAGTCGATGTAATTTCACAACCTCGTCGATTGATTTTCCCTGCTTACCTAGAACTCGACGCCTAACCTCAATATTGCTCACCCTATTATACCACTTCACACGGGAGATAGAATGCAGGCACCTATGATCAAAGACAGCTAAGCTTTTCATGTCTTCCACTCTCAGTGGCCAGGTCTCACAGCCATAAAGGAGGACGGGGCGGACTGATGAGCAGTACACCCGCCCTTTGGTCGATAGTCGAACATCTCGTCTACGCCAGAGACGGCGTAAACTGGCAAATGCGAAACGAGCCCTCTGTATTCGTGCTGAGATTTCGTCAGAGATCAACCCGTTGGCCTAGCTGGTGGTACTTCCCAAATAAGTGAAGTGGTCAACGTGCTCTACCACTTCACTTCCTATTTCTAATCTAGCAGTCGGTGTAGTCCAGTCCTGTAACATCATCTTGCATTTGGCGGGAGCGAATCGCATGCCAAACATTCGTAGATTGCAACTCAAGGTGTTTAGAAGACTCTGCAGTTCTTCAGCGTCCTCGCCTAGAAGGACTATATCGTCTGCATATTCTAAGTCAACGAGATTATTCCCGGTAGCAAGTCAATCCCTGAGTCGCTGAAGTCACTTAGGGTTAAGTCCATTAGTACATCTATGATGAAGTTGAATAGAAAAGGGGATAATGGGCATCCTTGACGGACACCACTAGTCGTCACCAGTTCAGATGACAGCTCGCCGTAAGCCCTCACCTGGCTGTATGAGTACGAGTAGAGTGCCTTAATCAGTGCAATATATTTTCTCGGAATTCCCTTTACAGCCAAGCATCTCCAGAGAACCTCCCGATCGACAGAGTCGAATGCTGCCTTTAGGTCAAGAAATATAATGACTGTTGGACGCCGGTAGGAATGCCTATGTTCTAGAATCTGTCGGAGGGTGAAGATATGATCAATACACCCTCTTCCTGGTCTAAAGCCTGCCTGGCTCTCTCGTGTTTGTGGCTCCCGAGCACCACTCAGTCTACGCATGATTATTGAGCCTAAGACTTTAGATACTATATTAGTCAAGCTAATCCCTCTGTGATTATCACAGGAAGACTTGTCTCCCTTCTTGTATATGGGGATAATCAGTGACTTACACCAACCCGATGGGACTTCTTCTGATTCCCAGACGCTGCCTAGTACCTCAGTTAATGCAGACAGTAAGCTGTCTCCACCGTACTTAAATACCTCTGGAGTCATTCCATCAGGTCCCGCTGCTTTGCCTAGTTTCAGATTGGTGACAGCTTTAGTAACCTCAGTTAGGGATGGAGGACCGTTTTTATATCCCATTCAGGGAGGTGTTGGATGCTCGGAAGGTTGAGCGTGGCTGTGGGCAAATTAAACTGCTCCTCATAATGCTCTTTCCAACGATCCAGTCGTCTATCCTGTGAGCTAATTATAGTGCCATTTTTTTCCGAGATTGTCTCACTGATGATTTGTCTTCTCACACCCGTTTCCCTGATGAGTCCAAAGAGTTGCCTGGTGTTGCCTATCGCCGAAGCTTTCTCCATCTCTTTGGCTTTTGTCACCCACCACTGTTCACGGTCCTTGCGGAGACTTTTCGTAAGTTTCCTCTTGTGCAGCTTTCGCTCCTCATTGAATTCGGAGCTCGCCGGAATAAGTCTTCTAGCATCTATCAGTTCGGATGAGGCGGTGGAGATCCAGTGGTTTTTACTCACCTTTGGGTTTACCTTATTCACAGCTTTTACAGCTGTATCTATGGCTGCCTGGATATTCTTCCAAGCTTCTTCAGGGTGAGCACAGCTGTCGGACTCAGATATCTGTTTAGCTAGTTCTTCCTCGAATAGGGATTTAGTTTCCTGATCGAGCCGGGGACGTTATGGATTTACCGCCGGTGTGCGATCGGAATCTACGCACGTGTTCCAGAAGGAGCGACAATCTCCTACCGACCCACGCCAACGATAGCTTATTGCTATGTGGTCTATTTGTGTCCAGCGTTGGTTTGATGATGGGGGTCGCCGGGTTAAACAGTGTCTCTCCTTGTGTTTGAAGTTAGTGCTTACAAGAAACAGATGATTATCTGAGCAGAACTGTAGGAGACGGTCACCGTTGTCGGTTCGCTGGCACGGACATCCTTCTCAGATTGACACAATTTCCCTACTTGAGCGTTAAAGTCACCAGCTAGAACGACTATATCTGAGCGTTTAGCCTTTCTCATCAAACTAGACAGCTTTTGGTAGAACTCATCCTTCGTTTCATCTGAACTGCAGTCAGTGGGGGCGTAGGCGGAGATTACGAAAAGGCATCGGCGAGTAGTGCAGTCCTTTCTCATTTTTACTCATCCGTTCAAACGGACAGCACACATTCGGCTGTCTACCGGGATCCAGTCAAGTAATGTCTTTTCTGCCCTAGTACTCAAAGCTATCCCTACACCAGCTAATCCTCGTGAACTAGCTGTGGCATCTCTTGACACCCTCAAGGTGAATTTTGCAGATTCATCCTGTTGGTCAGGTAGGGTTAGGTGAATAACCACACGTGAGTCTTGTATGTGTTTCTGAAACACAACATACATCAATGGTTCGGGTTGCCAGAGTCTTGGCGAGTGATGCTTGTTGTCCTATTTGGCAAAGTGTCCTAACATTAAATGCTCCTATATGAAATTGGTGGCGCGGCTTTAAGAGGCTATCGGTGGTGGTTTTTTGGCTTCCGTCGTTTTTGGTGGATACAGATTGAAGAGGAGGTGAAGAGCTATCAAGTAGAGGAGTTGCATCAGTGGAAGGAAAGCAAGATGATAGAGGGGAAGATGACGAAAAAGATGAGTGAGTATTAGAGAGGTTACGTGTGCATTTCGGATTGTGAGGGCGATTGTTACTTCGCGGCTGCACACACCGTGGAAGTTGGTTGCGTGACCTCAGAGCCCAGAGGACAACTGC